GGGGTGAGGGGAACGGAGAAATGAAATCAACTCATGCACAGGCAAAGGGTTATGATTTCAGCGCAATTGCTCCCTCACTCACCATGGAGGGCGGTTCGTCGTGGTTCTCGTCCTGCAGCTGCTGAATCAACGGTGACCTGCTAGGCTGATACCAGCCAGGTGCGCAGGCAGAGGCGACCTGATACCAGGTGCGAAGGCAGAGGCGACCTGATACCAGGTGCGCAGGCAGAGGGATGAGAGTCGAGCGCAAGTGCTCACTTACCATGGAGGGTGGCTCGTCGTCGTTTTCGTCCTGCAGCTGCTGCATCAACGTGCGCTTGAACGTCTCCAGCTGAAAGCAGAAGTAAAAGTTCAAAGTATAGTAATAAATAAGAAAAAAAAAATCGCATAAAACACATTCTGAGGGACACGGACGGAAAAACGGCCTGACATTCACTCTGCCATAGTAAAGTAGTAATTTGTGGATGATTGGTTGGTAAAAGCAGACACGGGTGATGAGAGGGCCAAACGCGCAATTTATTACGAACAGAGTCAGGATGGGAGAGAGGGGGACGACGCACCTTTGCCACGTCACGGTTGAGCTTCTTCACCATGGCGACAAGTGCCGTCTTCTCATTGGACAGCCGCGCCTGCCAGTTTCGAGAGACAACGGGGAAATGTTTGGGGAAACTGAAGAAAAGCCACGGCGGGCTAACTCTGACGCACCTCACAACGAGAAACGGCGGGGTGAATGGAAGAGGTTCGAGGAAAGGACGAGACGCGGAGGTGGACTTTGGTGTCAACCTAGAACCTTGGAACTCACGCGATTGGCCCAAAAATCACAACGGGCCAATCACGCGCGATCCAAAGTTCTAGGCTGACACAAACTCATTCTTGACACGAAGCCAGGAATACGCCCTTAGAGCAGCGCGGACAATGAACGAGCGAGGACGAGAGGGGAAACCGAGAATATAGGTACGAGAAGGGCGCGAGAATAGATAGCCAAAGCACGGAGCAGAATGGCAGGAAATGTGAAGCGGAATGATGATGGACGAAGGCATATAAAGGGATATTAAGGATGACTGGATATCAAGGAAAATGATGGGAAATGAAGGGGAATCGAAGGGGGAATTAAAGGAAAGTGAAGGGATTTGAAGAGAAACGAAGGACAACGCACCTGCTCCTGTTCTGACTTCTCGACCTTGTCGATAGCTTCCCGTAGGGAGGCCTCCAGACTCGAGACTTTCTCCTCGAGGCTCTTCACCGACCCTTGGCTCGCCTCGTAGTTGCTGCGCATGCTACTCGACTCTCGCTCCGCTTGCTGCGCGTGCGCGGACATGGCTCTAACGGCGATGCTTCGCGATATCCGCAACATTTCGAACGGATCGGCCGGGAGAAGATCGAGAATTTCCTGCGGAATGTCATCAACTCCGGAGCCATCGCCTGAACCTGATCCCATTCCAAGGCTATTCAAAGCACTAATCTGGTCACTAAGGTGCGGGAGCGAGGTGTGTTCTTTAGTCGACTCGGAAAACAAATAGGCCCTGCTACGCGCTACTACGGGTCACACCAGTGCCGGAGCCCTGGAAGCTATAGATACTGATACTTAAAATGCGTTCTCGGCGGGGTCAAATATGAGGAAACGGGCGCGCTGCGAGGGAGAGGACGAAATGCTTCACTTTCTGACTCTTGATCCCGTGCCCTAAATATGCGGGGTTGCTGCTATCTAAAACAATGGCGAAGGTTAGTGTTTAGGACATGGAAAGTCTGGCTTGGCTTTCATGATACTGTTTGAAGAGAGATGGAATGGGATGAAGTGTAGTTCTTTAGTAATCGAGGAGGATGGAATGAGGTGGAGAGGAAACAAAAGTTTAGCCTTGAGAGTGGTATGGCATGGAGATGGAGCTACAGTACTTCTGACACGCAACCCAAGCCTCTCGACGAGGCTTAGCCTATGGGCAGCCAGCCTCCCCCCTTGGTGCGTCCCCCTGCCAAACTTGATACTGCTGCCGAGCCGAGAGACATCATTAGTGTGCTTTGCGCGAGAATATGTTTAGGGGCGAGAAGCTGCGATGTGATTGGAGAAATCCCCAAAGGTTGGAGCATCCGTGACAATGGGCTCTGCTCCACATGGGAACATTGAAATATAAAACATACAGATCAATTAAATGCAAAACTGGTTTCATGCACCTAATTGCTTTAGCCATATCAGCTCACATACTGCATTTGAAGCCTCCTGCAAAAACCTTAGCACAATCTACCGAGAAGCCTGTGTCGACGCGGGCACCTTCACCATGCCTTTCTTTTTTTCTTCCGCCTTGATCTCCTCCCATTCGTCCTCACCAAATAGCGATTTTGCCCACCCCTCGTCGCGCAGCTTCTCGTCAACGAGCCAACTAATCGTGCGTCGCGACTCTTCGTGAGCGCTCAGCCCGCACACCGTTGCTGTACGCGGCCTCTTTTTCGGTAGCGTGGCCCCGAGAATCAGACCGTTTGTGAGAGCGGTGAGGTTCGACCTTTCCAACAACCTGTTTACGCGCGCAACAGCTATTCCAGTCTCTGCAGCAGAGTCATCCACTCTGAATGTCTCTATGGCTTGCATAACAACCCGCACGCGACGCATTTTCCGTTCGCTTGTGCCCACAGTCATAGGGGTGGGTTCGCCAGGCGCAAACTTGGCGTATGTGGTAAAAAAAACTCTTCTGCGTGTCATCGCAAACATCGCGCAAAGACTTGCCATTGATAAGGAAGCTTGGCTTAGCCCACAGAGCCCATGCATCTGCCACTTTCTTGGAATCCCGCCACGGCCTCACGACAGTGTCGTAGAAAGCCTTCTCTGAGAAAAGAGGAAAAGCCGGATGAAAGGGGAATGGAAAAAGATGAGGGGGGGCGTCCTGAGGGGCGTGCCCGCCCCGTGTAGCGAGGGTAGTTTTGAGACGTCTCAAAAACACCCTCGCTACACCTGAGGGGAGTGCCCGCCCTACCCCCTCTGCTCCAAACCCGTACTCAGAAGGAACAGCAGTTGTATGCGCTCTCCTCCACCTGGGCCTATCCCTCCTGTCCCTTCATCCCCACCCTCAACAGATGAACCATTCCCAGCACAAGGCACTCATCAACTTCTTCCTTGTCATATGCACTCCCCAGTCTCTTCATCCCCACACTCACCAGTCTGTCTAGCAGCGGAAGCCCCGCTACCAGCCGAGGCCGTGGTGGGCTCTGATGCTGCTGGCTTGGGAGCAGTTGCAGTGGCAGCGACCTGTGAGTAGGGGAGGAGAGAGCGACGGGTAAAGGTGGAGAGAGGGAGGAGAAGGGAAGGTAGGGGTGAAGAAGAGAAGGAGAAAGGGACAGGTAAGGGTGAACAAGAGAAGGAGAAAGGAACAGGTAAGGGTGAAGGAGGGAGGAGAAGGGAAGGTACGGGTGAAGGGAGGGAGGAGAAAGGGACAGGTAAGGGTGGAGAAGAGAAGGAGAAAGGAACAGATAAGGGTGAAGGAGGGAGGCAAAAAGGGGCAGGTAAGGGTGAGGAAGATGACGGGGGTGGTGGGTGAGGGAGAGGAACGGAGCAATTCAAAAATTAACATATGTACACGCAAAGGGATGAGAATTCAATACGACGAGCTCACCATAGAGGGTGGTTCGTCATCGTTCTCGTCCTGCAGCTGCTGCATCAACGTGCGCTTGAACGTCTCCAGCTGTACGCAAAAGTCACGAGACAGCGAAACAAACATACAAAAAAAAAAAAAAAACAACAACAACAACAACAACAAACAAAATGTAAAAATAAAAAGGAAACACACATTTGTGAATTGCCGAATGACGACATTGAGAGGAAAGTGAGGGACGCGAACAGAAAAAATGCATGGCTTTCACTTCACAAACAGAGTGAGGATAACCTGAGTGGGGATGGGGGGAACGAACACCCACCTTTGCCACGTTACAGTTGAGCTTCTGAACCATGGCGACAAGTGCCGTCTTCTCATTGGACAGCCGCGCCTGCCAGTGGCGAGAAACAACGCGGTGAATGCAAGCGGTTTGAGAGAAGGACGGGGCGATAAGGTAGGCTCGTTCTGATGCACCTCCCAACTAGACACAGCGGAGTGAATGGAAGAGGTAATAAAAAAGGATGGAACGGTGAGGTGGACTTAAGAGAAGCATGGGACAACGAATGGACGAGAGAGGGGAAATGGAGAACTTAGGTACGAGAAAAGCGCAATAAGGGTTAAGAGGAAAAAGGAAGGACGTCAACGCACCTGCTCCCGTTCCGACTTCTCGACCTTGTCGATAGCTTCCCGTAGGGAGGCCTTTAGACTCGAGACTTTCTCCTCGAGGCTCTTCACCGACCCTTGGCTCGCTTCGTAGTCGCTGCGCATGCTACTCGACTCTCGCTCCGCTCGCTGCGCGTGCGCGGACATGGCTCTAACGGCGATGCTTCGCGATATTCGCAGCATTTCGAACGGATCGGCCGGGAGAAGATCGAGAATCTCCTGAGGGACGTCGTCAACTCTGGAGCCATCACCTGAACCGGATCCCATGCTTCGGCAACTCGAAGCACCACTCTGGTCACAAGGGTGCGGAAGCGTCACAAGTACTAAGAAACTGAGGTGTATTTTTTAATCGACTCGAACTACACTTGGACTGCTATGCACTAGTTCGGGTCACATCAGTGCCGGAGCCTGGAAACCTTAGACGCTACGCTAGTACTGCAGACTCGTTCTCAACGGTCAAACGCCTGAAAATGGGCGCGTCGCGAGGAAGAAAGCGCGGAAACTAAGCTCAACCTCTACGCTGTATCCTTCGCCCTAAGTGGTGTGCAGCTAGTATTTAGGGAACAATGACACTGAATGGCACTCAACCAGAAGACTGGAACATCCGCGACAATGAGATCTGCTCACCATAGAAAAGCACTGCACATCCGGTTTCATCTTATCAAAAAGTGGTTCCATACATAATAATAACTATAAATGATAGAAGAACCTTCATGGGTCGTTTCAACACACACAGAAATACAATACATCGGCCTTAAATTACACATTTCCGGCAATATCGTCATCCGTAAGGTCATTAAAGGTCTCCACAGTTACTCCTGCACTTTGAAGAATCGTATATTCTATAATAACCTGAAACAGAGAATACAGTCCAAATGAGCCCAATACACACGACCACCACAGCACGAGCACACACACACACACACACACACACACACACACACACACACACACACACACACACACACACACACACACGCACACACACACACACGCACGCACGCACGCACACACACACACACACACACACACACACACACACACACACACACACACACACACACACACACATGCAAATGTAACAGTAACTGTAACTCACCTCCATGTATGCATCCATTTTGGGGTCCGGGCCAAGCAGACGTGTGTACCCATCATACCAGGGTGTGCCAGGAGCCCAGAGATAATGAAAATCTTGAAACATCCGAATGGTGTAGATTGCCTTCAACGGGTCAAAGAACCCTGGCGTTTTTTCATTGGTCGCAATGTACAGAGTGCGTCCAGGTGCAACGAACCTGGGAAGCTTCTCCAGCAAACTGGATGGAATCAAAGCAAGGATAACGTGGCAAGTGGGGCAAGAATGCAGATATCAAAATAAATACAGAAGCCAAGTCCATTCGTTCACTGAAAGGAACAAGCTGTTTGGGGCCCAGGAAGCAATGGCAGATGTGTGGGAGCAGTGGCTTACGCAAATATCATAAGAGAGAAAAAAGATTGCGGCGCATGAAGCATCATCAGGACTATGGAAATATGACAAAGACACAGTAGCCGAGATTCGAAACTGAAGTCACAGTTTGCCTTACGCGTCGGGGCGTGTGTCGCGGTCGAGGTGGGGCCAGAACTCTGGGCGCAGCTTGTCCCCGCGCCTGACATGCACGGCGTCAAAGTCGCCGCCATTCATGGACGCCGAGATGTTTGCTGCCAGCGCCAGCAGCTCCGGGCGAAACCGAATGGCTGCCTCGTTCACTCCTGCGGGTGTGCTCTGGCGCTGGAGGGGGTGGGGGTGGGGGGACAGGGGGGTGGGGGGGACAGGGGGTATATGGGAAAGTGAGAGGAGAGAATGGCTGGAAGCAGCTCCAGGCGGAACCGAATGGCCGCCTCGTTCACCCCTGCTGGGGTGCTCTGGCGCTGGAAAGGAAAAGGGAGGAGGTGGGGGGGGGGAGGAAGCGGGGGGGAGAGGGGTTGGGAGGGCAGGGAGTATACGGAAAAGTGACAGGAGAGAATGGCTGGAAGCACATGGCTGTGAGGGGGTGCTTTGGTGCACGGGGGAACAGGGGGAAGTGCGGAAGACAAGACCTGGGATTCTGGATGGGGGAGAGTGAGCAGGGATTGTGGAGGGAGTGTGGAGGAAGAATGATTTTGGCTGGAATCGAATGGTGGCTTCAACTACCAATAAGGGGGTGCTTTGGAGCTGGAAGAGGGGGGAGATATGTGGGAAAAAAGGAACGGAATTCTGTGAGGGAAGGCCAGTCCAGAGAGGGTAGAGGAAGAAGGAATGTGGTTGAAACCAAACATACGAAAAAAAAAAAAGGCAAAAGCCCGCCCACCTTGCACGTGCTGAACCCGTAGTTGGTTTCGCGAATCACAACCAGAGTAGCTCCATCCGCGGCCAGTGCGACCATGGGCGCCCTTTCATCCACCACACGTGCGCGGATAGTCCCCTCCCGCCCCGCCCGCCTCTCCTGCACCCGCCACTCGCGCGCCCCCCTCAGAAAGCCCTGCAGCGGCGTGAAGGGCACGGTCCTTGGGGAAAGAGGGGGGCGCGGGAGGAGGGGGGTAGGAGGGGGCGAAAAGGGGGGAGAAGCGGGAATGGAGATGGTCTATGATTGAGGCGGTGCCTGCCACTCGCGCGCCCCCCTCAGAAAGCCCTGCAGCGGCGTGAAGGGCACGGTCCTGGGGGGAAATAGCGGGGGGTGAAGGGGGAGGGGGAAGGGGAGAAGGGGCAGAAGGGAGATAGACTATGTTGAAGCGGCGTCTGCCACTCGCGACCCCCTCAAAAAGCCCTGCAGCAGCGTGAAGGGCATGGTCCTGGGGGGGGGGGGCGAGGGCGAATTGGGGGGCCAGACTTTTTTCTTGAAATCGCTGGACAAACGAAAAAAAACATGAAAAATGAGCCTACCTGAGCGAATCCAGGTCATAGTACACAAAAGCCGGAAAAGGAAACGCAAATATTTAATTTACCTGAGCGAGTCCAGGTCATGGTACACAAGAGCCGGAAAAAGGAAACAGAAAATTAATACAATAAATTATATAATTCATTTACCTGAGCGAGTCCAGGTCATAGTACACGTGGATGGATCTGATATGATGCATGCCTCCACTGTGCCACGCGTTCACGCACTGAGTCATGTCCAGAATCAGTGTACGGTTCAGATATGCCGCCTCCGCGATCAGACACGTCAGGCTGAGGTGGAAATGCTTCACTCCAGCGCAGTAGTCACGTGAGCCGGTTATGAAGAGGTACCGGCCGTCAGGACGGAAGTAATCCTGACGGCTAACCGGCAGCCACGGCGTTTCCCAGAGAACGGAGTGCAGAACGGGCATTCTGGACCGGATCGCCTTGTCGTGCAAGAAACCCAAGAACTTCGTGGAAGTTTCCAACTGCTTCAATCGAACAACGTCATCGTTCCGGACAGGTTCAAACTGCGTGTTCCTCGCCCGCTTGTCGTTCTCGCCAACCTTTCCGCGAATTTCGCCGTCCAAGGCTGGTAACCCGTATTCTGACGTTTCTGATTCCACGCCGACCCGAGTAGTACTATCAGCAACCACAGTAGAACTAGCAACCCCTCGCGCTCCCTTTTTGCTGCTGCTGCTGCTGCTGGTGCTGGTGCTGCTGGTGCCGGATCGAGCCGCATCAGCGACAAGGCTCTGCGACGGTGCTTTCCGAAACGAATTCCGCGTGACAACGGCGTCAGAAACCCGATGCTGTTGCTGCTGCTGGTTCTCCTGCTCCTGCGATGATTGCGGGTGTTTCCACAGCAGGATCCCGCGATTCGACGTGGATACGTCGAAGGGACGGCAAAAGGACGGGGGAGATAGGAAGGGAGAGAGGAGCAGGACAGCGAATGCCAAGCCGCGAACGGAGGAGACGGTGGAGAATGGGGAGAGATCGCGGCTCAATACACGGAAATTCCGCATGATTTTGAGCGTTTTTGGGAAATATTCGTCGATCGAATCGACCACTTACAGCACCACGGGAACGCCTAGACTGAGGGAATCAAACAAAGTGATGCGTCAGAAATGGAGCAGTGCCGGATATAACTAGTCGGGCTCATTATCTTGCACTGGGCGTTTATGGCGGTTCCACCGTCTCACCGACCCCAACCTATGGCCCGTGATAACTTTTTGAGGCGCCTCAGGAATATTGCTAGTCCTGCTTAGTAGAGTCTTGCACAACTGGCATCATGGCGATTCTACCGTCTCACCGGCACCGGCCTGTGGCTGTGATAACAGGCACGCGCGCGGGGCGCTCGAAAAAATTCCATACAGCTTTCCAGGTTTCCCTAACTACGTACACCCTCATTCTCGATAGACTGGCATATGTTATACTGACCGAACCGCTTTGTGTAGCCGCAACGGACCAAAGAAGGTCCTATCACATGCGTTATAGTGACAATTTCACCCAAGGCGGTCAGTCAATGTTTCAAGCTTTAAAGAATGGTACTGTTGCTTTCAAAACGGTTGGGACGGCTATTCAGCGTTAACTGTTTTCTACTGTCCAGGGCTTGCCTCGTCACCTCGTGCGACTTTGCCCGCAACCGAGTTATCGCACCAGCCCGCTACGTCCAAACACTGTAGCCAGAGCTTCCGCCGGTGAGAGTGCTGAGAACAAGGGTGTATCACTCATCAGTGACTTCCGTGGCGTGAGGCAACAACAGGCTTGCTTCTGGCGGAAGCTTGACTTGTGTGAATTTCGCTTCTCAGAAACATGCCACGGTTATTACTGGTTGACTACGATACAGAAAGGTTTAGAACTATCATCCTAGGTACTATCGTGTGGGTGATTCGCTGAATCGCAGTGCATCAACGGACGAACAAGAGCGACGCACCTCAGCTCGGCTCCATCCATATACCAATATGTGCTCGATGTCGGGCAAAGATCAAATAGGGGCCGAAAAATAGCACAAGGGTGTCCGAATTAGGGCCGGCATTTGGAGTGAATAACAGGTGACCCCAAGATTGCGTAATTTATTTAACTTGTCAGATGTCCTGACGCGTCGTGACTGAGTGAGTGGAAACTTAACGTCGCTAGCGCCACCAAGCACCAGACGACGCTACCGGGAACTGTTAGGGCAGGGAAACAAAACTAAAACCCTTCGCGAACCTGCACGCATTATTGGGAGGGATCAACCCTAAACACGGGAACCCGCCTGGCGTTTAGGGTTGATGCCTCCCCGAGTCGCATCCGTTTCCGAGAGGGTTTTATTTTTTAAGGCCAAGTAGAGCGACGTGTAGCATAATATGTACACGATGAAACATACCCCCAGAGGAAGACGACGCGAGCTTCCTATGAGAATAACATTGAGTCAACAACGTCGCTATTTTATTGATTTTCTTTAAATTTAGGTTCGAGTTATCTGCCCAGCCACATGGGCAGCTCCGGAGATGTATTGAACGGTTGAGATTTACCCGGCCCTAATTCGGACACCCCTGTGCTATTTTTCGGCCCCAGTTTGATCTTTGCCCCTCGATGTCCGCTTGGGTGTGGTGTGAGATGAAACTGTGGTTGGGGGGATAGCTGTTTTTGTAGGTTTGGAGTCGGTCTGAAACGGTGATGGGGTGCAAGTAGTCGGTTTGACCTGCACCATCTCAACTTCCCTGTCAGTCACCATGTCAGCACCTCGTGCCAGTCCACCCTGCCACCAGCCACCCGAAATTGAGGAACAGACTGATCGCTGGCAAGTGCACATGGTTACAGACTTCATACCCACTATATAAACAGCTCGATACACGATAGAAATCGTCCAAAAATCACGCAGCTGGAACATCCAGCATCAATGCCGCCACTCTTTATTTGTGTATGTTTCAGTTTGTGCCTGCTCAACCCTAGACAAAGCTCGTTCAAACGATGCCCGTTACAGTATCACCCACTCACGTTCTATTGCCGTGTTTCCAATCTTCCGCCCTCCCACTTACCTCAAATCCCCCCCAATCCAACATTGGCCTGGTTGGACTTCGCTTCTTGCCATTGGCTCGGGCCGCCACACGGTATTCAGCCAGAGAAGAGGAGGCCATGTGGCACTTGGATAAACCAAGCAAACCTGCCCGATTGGCTTGACGCGCGTGCGTGGCGGGAAAGTTCCCTACAGAGATCAAGGGAGCGTTCCTGGCCCGTGTCAAGCTTCGGGCCTTCCCGGGAAGGCCTGAAGCTTTGGGTCAAACTTCCTATCAAACTTCATGTCTTCCGGAAACAGGGGCAATTTTTGGCCAGAAGACCCGAAGTTGGTCTCGGATGGCCCAAAGTGGGTCCAACTTCCGGTCATCCGCGGATGACCGGAAGCTTGACACTAGCCAGGAACGCACCCCAAGGTGGTCCGAGGGTCTAGGCCTGAAGTGCGGGTGGGGGGGAAGTTCTCGAGGGTCACATACATCACATCACATCTCTGGTCTGCTCTGGTCTGGTGCCCCCCAGTCAGCAGCATCCATCTCATGTCACGTCATGTCGCTTGGTCATGGCTGGCATTCCCGATGAGTCATGTCATGACTGTGCCGTATGTACAGTACTATCCGCCACCCAGGACTTCTCTCCCACTGCCCGCTTTTAGTCAAGATGCAGCTCTTTCGAGGGCACGAAGCAGAATGGAACGGAGTTGCGGAACACAAGCTAGCAACTGCTGGTCGGAGTGGTTTGGTTGATGCGCGACGCGGATCAGCGACGCGATTCGAACGAATATGTCTTCGGTCAGCAGCACCACTGCAGCAGCACCCGTCGCACAGTGATTGCACTGTACAATTTCTTCGACTGAACGAAAACGAGCTTCAAACGAAAGCTGGTTTGAGTGTTGCTTGTCCGTCAGTCAACGTCGGGGAAGGAAGGAAGGAACACTCTCTCGAATTCGGCAGCCACCTCAAGCACAAGTGAAGAGCACTGTGGAACAGAGTGGGCTGCAACTACCGTATTCAACCCTACCGCATCTTTCTCCTCATCCATCCATCCCTTCTCGATTCCAAATTGGCGTTCTGTGATGATGCGGTTGGCAGAGATGATCTACGTTTGTTAACGGTTCCTTGCTACTTAACAGCGGTTGAACAATGTTAGCCAGCAGAAATAAGCACTTCCTCTTCATCTCTCTCCACCCTGAACTTTCTTTGTCATGGCTGTTCTGTGACCATCCTTTGTCTGCTTCTTCTGCTTTTATCCGCTAACCCTAGATCAGCTCTAAGAAGCCATAGCGTATCAGGGAGTTTCGTGAATGTCAGGAAGCTGCTCTTTAAAGACTTGTGACACAGATTTTTTGGTGCTAGTTTTATTAGTTTTCCGTGTTGTTTTGAAGAACACAAGAATTAGTCGTAGTAACTTTGTATTAGGACCGAATTGCGCGTGGCTCTCTTGTCTTCGTCTGAGCTGATGCTGAGTAGATGATACAATTTTGCCTGCAGCTGGCATGTGTTCGCACCTAACTCAACGGGTTCGTTAAGCAGTACGGCAATATAGGCTGGTCATATGGGCTGTGCGGGATCGAAACCTAAGGACGATACGTCTCCTCCTCGACGGAGAGATGCATCGGAGGAGGCCGTTCCCGCTCCGAAAGTTGCACCGGACGATTTATCAGGTACCTTTACACGCTCGTGGTGTCTTTCGAAGCTTACTGTGGTAAATTCCACGCTTCACTTAGTCGTACTGCATATAGTCATGCGTGATTAGTTCGGTCGAATTCTAGGCAACATCTTGTTGAATTAAAGGGTAGCTGCTGTTTAAGGCTCTCAGAAGTTTCGAGGCTGACTGACGATGCATTTGCAACGTTATTATGCCAGAATTTGGCGGATGAGGCTGGAAGGAAGAGTCACAACAGTCGCACCTTAATATTGGACTTGAATTCGTAATCCTGATTAGACTTACGTTTTCAGAGAGTTTCGCTAAGATCAGGCGACTCAAATACCTTAATATGGTGAAATTCAATGACGATTTTTCTTAGAATCGTTGAGCTGCTTCTTTACCTACAGTCAGACACGACGCCCTCTCTTAATGTTTCCTTCGTTGCTCTATTTGCAAATCCAGAGTGAATATTCAGTTTGTTTGTTTTCCATGGTGTTTCATTTGGCCCTGTTTCTTCCCCTTGTTCTGACTTGATTGTTTGCAGATAATGGACCATTGCTAGCTCAAAGCCCGAAGATTAAAGCCCAAAGCGGCCTTTCAGAACCTAGTAGATCCGACAAATCTCCAACCGCGGCACCGACAGATCAATTGTTATCACGAGACGATGGACCAGCAGCAGATTTCCAACGGTCAAATCCACCGACACAGGTTACCGGGTTACCATCAGAAGGTCCACCAGGGTTACACGGATCACCAGCTGTGCCCGCGCAGGAGCGGCCACCGCAGGGCGAAATGGCAGCAGTGCCAGCGCCGTCGCCGGGGCCTACAGGAGCGCGGATTGCGGCTCAGACATTCACGTTCCGAGAACTGGAGCGAGCGACGGGCGGGTTTTCCGAGAAGAATTTCATAGGCGAGGGCGGGTTCGGTCGCGTGTACAAAGGATGGCTAGAGTCTACCGGCCAGGTGGGTGCTTCTTGGGTGTGTCTTTGATTTTTTTTTTTTTTTTTTAATTACCCTGCGTAGGCGAGGGCGGGTTTGGACGCGTGTACGAAGGGTGGCTGGAGTATACAGGCCAGGTGGGTGCTTAAAGATTCGTGAAGCGTCGCACAGGAGTGAGTCAGCTTGTAACGGGGTTGGGCGCGTGTTCAAGGGTTGTCTGGAGTCGAGGGGAGAGGGAGGTGGTTGGTTGTTGATTGAAACGACTCTATTGTGAGACAGCTTGCAAGGGGTCGGACACGGTTACAGAGGGTGGCTCGTGAGTGGCTCGAGTCTCTCGAACAGGTGCTTGAATCTCCAATCCTTGGGGCATGTCACAATAGTGAGTTGGTTCCAAACAGGGACAGCTTGTGGACAACGGCTGAGCGTGATGCACGGGACAGTTAGGAACGGCTTGCAGGGTAACTGGGAGTTTCGAGTCAACTTGCTCATGCTTAGCTTGCTCCCACACAGCTTCTTCCCTTCTTGGTCCTTTGCCAAGTTAAAAAACTTATTTGTGTTGGCCCAACAGGTGGTAGCGGTGAAGCAGTTGGATAGAAACGGCGTGTAGGGAAATCGGGAATTCTTGGTCGAGGTGCTCATGCTCAGCCTGCTGCACCATCCGAATCTCACACGGCTCGTTCTCTCTCTTGCCCCCGTGCCATGTTTGTGAACACTTCTTGGTGTTGCCCAACCAGGTGGTAGCGGTGAAGCAGTTGGATAGAAACGGCGTGCAGGGAAATCGGGAATTCTTGGTTGAGGTGCTCATGCTCAGCCTGCTGCACCATCCGAATCTCGTGAATCTCATTGGTTACTGCGCGGACGGCGATCAACGGCTGCTAGTGTACGAATTTATGCCACGTGGCGCTCTTGAGGATCACCTTCATGGTGAGGGCGGGAGAGCGGGAGGAAGAGAGCAGTGCTGACGGTGGGGTGAGAGGGGGGGGGAGTGAGGAAGCAGATGAGTGAGGTGTGGAGCAAGAAGCGCGAGGAACGAGAGGAGTGAGGAGCAAAGTGGAGAGTGAGGAACGAGAGGTGTGAGGAATGGGAGGAGTGAGGACTGAGAAGCAGCAGATGGTGTCATTATGTGCGTGGTGGTAGGCAGTGCGTGATTGCTACGCATGTGACCTGCCCCACCTGACTCGCTCGTCCACCTCCGCCTCCTACCCCGCCCCCTCCTTCCCGAGTCCCCGCCTCCTCGCCCCCCTCCTCCCCCCTCCTCCCCCCTCCTCCCCCGTCCCCCCGCCGCCTCTGCCCTCTTTCCCACTCCCTCCCCCCTCCCCCTGCCCCTCTCCCGCTTTCCCCCAGACCTACCTGAGGGCAGGGTGAGTCTGGAGTGGAGCAAGCGCATGAGGAGGCCTCCCCGCCCGTCATCTACTGCGATTTCAAGTCCTCCAACATCCTCCCCGCCGCTCCTGCCTCCCTCATCCCCCTCCCATTCAACCTACCTTCCTTTCCCCTGTGTTTGCTGCACCCGCTTCCTGCCCCCGCTTCCCCCCAGACCTACCCGAGGGCAGGGCGAGTCTGGAGTGGAGCAAGCGCATGAGAGTAGCAGCAGGGGCAGCCAAGGGCCTCGAGTACCTGCACGAAGAGGCCTCCCCGCCCGTCATCTACCGCGATTTCAAGTCCTCCAACATTCTCCTAGACGAGAACTGGCACCCGAAGCTCTCGGATTTTGGGCTCGCGAAGCTGGGGCCTGTGGGGGACAAGACGCATGTTTCGACGCGCGTGATGGGCACGTATGGGTACTGCGCGCCCGAGTATGCGATGACGGGGCAGCTCACGGTTAAGAGCGATGTGTATAGTTTCGGAGTGGTGCTGCTGGAGCTGATCACGGGGCGCAAGGCCATTGACAGCTCGAGGCCGCATGGAGAGCACAACCTCGTTGCTTGGGTGCGTGTTTTTGCTCCTTGTGCTCACAGGTGGCTCTTGCCTGGGTGTTGGCCTCCTGTTTCTCTTGGATGGTTCCTGTTTGCCGTTGTGCTTCCTGGACCTGCTGGGGCTGATCACGGTACGCAAGGCCATTGACAGCTCGCAGCCACATGGAGAGCACAACCTGTTGCTTGGGTGGGTAATTCCGGTCGTTGCGCTCAGGGGTCAGGGTGGTTTGTTTCGGAAACCCCACCTCTTCCATACTACCCATGCTGCATGTCATATGAGTATGCCTCTGCTCTATGTCACTTCACAGCTTCACAGACTGATTGCCTGACATAGCGGCTGGTTGTCCGTCTGATATGGGAGCTGTACCTTTCTAGTCCACTCTTACACCTCTCTTTTTCTGTCTTATCCTCTCCTCTTCCCCTTTCCCCTCCCCCTCCCCGTCTGCTCATAGGCGCGGCTGCTGTTCAAGGATCAGAGGAAGTTCCCAGCCATGTCGAACACCTTGCTGCAGGGGCGCTACCCCATGCTTGTGTGTCTCTGCCTCTCTTTCTCTGTCTTACCCTCTCCCTTTTCCCCCTCCCCCTCTCACAGGCGCGGCTGCTGTTCAAGGATCGGAGGAAGTTCCCAGCCATGGTGAACACCTTGCTGCAGGGGCGCTACCCCATGCTTGTGTGTCTCTGCCTCTCTTTCTCTGTCTTACCCTCTCCCTTTTCCCCCTCCCCCTCTCACAGGCGCGGCTGCTGTTCAAGGATCGGAGGAAGTTCCCAGCCATGGTGAACACCTTGCTGCAGGGGCGCTACCCCATGCTTGTGTGTCTCTGCCTCTCTTTCTCTGTCTTACCCTCTTCCCTTTCCCCCTCCCCCTCTCACAGGCGCGGCCGCTGTTCAAGGACAGGAGGAAGTTCCCAGCCATGGCGGACCCCTTGCTACAGGGCCGCTACCCCATGCGCGGGCTGTACCAGGCGCTGGCCGTCGCTGCCATGTGCCTGCAGGAGCAGGCCAGCCAGCGACCCATGATTCATGATGTGGTTACCGCGCTCAACTACCTGTCGTCGCAGCCCTACGACCCAAATAACAACCCGCAACCCAGGTAAGACCTCGGGCCTAGAAGTTTCCCTGTTGCTTTTGGGGCATTTCGTCCGTAGCAGGAGAAGGCCAGCCAGCGTCCCATGATTCATGATTTGGTTACCACACTCAACTACCTGTCGTTGCAGCCCTACGACCCCAACAACAACCCGCAACCTGGGTAAACCCTTGGCCGCAGGAATTTCTCCGTCGCTTTTAGAGGGTTTGGGTCGTCGCAAAGCAGGAGCAGGCCAGCCGACGCCCCATGACCCACGGACGTCGTTACGGCTCTCAACTACCTGTCATCCAATCCTCCCGTTCTCCTCCCCCCCCACTCTTCTCTTTCACCCTCTCCGTTTCAATCTCTGCAACACGCTTGGTCCACGCTGCTTCACATGAAGAGTTTCCAGTGCACTCGTAATCCACCTCTGCTTTCGTTTCCCCCAGTCAGTTCTCTCCATGCAGCATGCCTGGCAGATACACGCCTGGCAGACACACGCCACACCCCTTCACAGATAGTGTTTCCAGATAGTGTTTCCAGTGCACCTGTTATCCTCCCCCTTCTCACTCCCCTCTCGTCTCCCCCTCCCGCCACCCTTCCCCCTCTCTCTTCTTTTTATTGTCAATGCAGCACGCCTGGCAGATACACGCCAGGCACGACGCCCCTTCATGAGAAGAAGGGATCTCGCTCACCCCGAGTGCGCAACCTGCAGTCCCCGCGAGCATCCCCCAAGAGCAGCAGCAGCACCAGCACCGACAGGGGGGGTCTGGGGGGAGTGTTCACCAGCATCAGCAGCAGCATCGGTCAAGAGGGGAAAGGGAGAGAGAGCGAGGGAGGGAGCGGGAGGGGGAGGAGAGGGGCGGCAGCACCAGGGGGGGCAGCAGAGAGGGGAGAAGGGAGGGAGAGGGTATCGTGAAAGTCCAGGGAGGGCCGGCAGCAGGGGGAGTGGAGGGGGGCTAGAGGGAGAGAGCCCGAGGCAAAGGGGGACGCCCAGGGGGAGCAGTAGTAGTGGGGGAGGCGGAGGGGGAGGGGGAGGGGGAGGGGAGTATCAGAGTAGAGGTTCGTCGGGACGAGGGATGGTGAGCCCAGGGAGGAGTGAGTCAGGCAGGGAGAGGCGAGGTGACTACTGAGTTTACTTGAAAGGTTATGGTTGATTTCATTTTGAGGGATGGGGAGGGGAGGCTGAGGAGGGGAGAGACCGGCAGTGGCAGCAGCAGGAGGAGGTTGGGGGGGGGGAGCAGACAAGGTTTGGAGGGGCAAAGTGGGCTTTTGGATGCTGGCCACGGCAGGAACAGCTGAGGGGGGGAGAGACCGGCTGTAGCAGAAACAGGAAAAGTGGAGGCGGCAGCAAGAGCAGCAGCAGGACTGGAAGCAGAGCAGTAACACGGGTTGAGGAGCAGGATTTTGTGGTGTGGAATCTGTTGGGCAGTTTGTGTGTGAGAGGAGAATGGTGGAACATGGAGTGTGTTACTGAGGGATGTCACTGCTGCAAAATTGCAGTTTTTTAAGGGTACGAGTTTTGTGTGGCTACGTGGGAAGCGTGTGTGGCTGAATGGAATGATTGGCAAGTGCGTGTGCTGTGAGGCTCCACGTAACTCGTGAGTGTTATGTGCTGATGCATGGTTTATGGTGGTTTGGTGATGGTGGCATTTGCAGCTGAACATTCCAGCATGGATTTCTGAAGCAGCAGCAGCAAAGAAAAGCTGGTTAGGAGTAAAAAGGTTGGCAGAAGGTTGTTATTGCAAGGTTTGGCCGTGTCTGCATTGCAACATGCAGTACGTTAGAATCTTGGTGCTAACATTTGTCCTGTTTTTCTTTCCAGTAGGTAAGGGGCATTGAATGTATTTTCTATGTAACGATATGATTTTGATATGATATCAACCTATGAATAGTAACGCTTCTAATTTGAATAGACCGTATTGTACACCAAAACTCAAGTATCTCTCTACTAATGCATGGTGGAATGGAGTTGTGCTCTTGTCTCCTCTCCACAATACGGAAAGTCGGTGATCCAATGAAAACTCACGCCGTTACGAACAGGCATGCACAGTACTGTAACGATCTCGAGGCAGCAGTACCCTAGGTTTCGGAGCGGAGCCAACGTTGAAACGACCTGCCTGGCCTGGTGGAACACCGCGGTGTAGGGCGTTCTCGCTGGCTTGAAGAGCATTACAGAGCGGTGGCGAAGGCGACGGAATGTGAGGCACAGAGCATTATTCAGACAGTACCCTATCTAACCGTTCTTGAAGTACAGATATCGTTTGAAAACGTAACGATTTGCACTCAACCGTATGTTGCTGCATGTTTACTTGTTCATTCCAGCCATGTCTGTCCCCACAGTACATACGACAGGGGAGGAGGGCTCTTCTGAGCGGCAGTTACGTCTGGCATGGAGCTTCTTTACAGCAATACGAACGGACCATGCCAAATTCCAAATTCCTAACCAGGCAGCATTCGCCATGGTTGGGTAACGCTGTGAGCGGCCGTAGTGGCTGCGTTCTGTTTGGTTGCAAGCAACACCCCTTCATCGTTTTGTTGTACTAGAGTGACATGGACGCTTGTTAGCACAGGCAGGCACAGGTGTCACCGTAAGCGTGATGCACTTGTTTTTTTCGAAGAAATTTGAACATTTGTCCTCCTCACTTATTCCTTCCTTTTCCCACCATTTGGGCATATAGACCGGTCCTAGTCTGTGCGTATACGAACCGTGAAACACGCCCTTACTTGCTACAGCGAGTGCTCTCGATCGATCCTCCGCTCACGTTTGAGTGAGTCGACTCATCGTTAGTCATCGTTTGAGATTCGAGTGCACTCGCCTGCGTAGCGATTACGAATATCGTCCCCACATCGCTCTTTAAAGCGCTGCAGATAATCGCTTGTCGTCGCTTGTCGCACACCGACAACAATGTCGCCTGATCTCAATCCACGCCGCGTCAGCCGCGTCGGCCGCTCGTCGGAGTCTCGTCGCGACGGCACGAGAAAGCTTCCTCCGCTCTTCCTGCCGCTTCTGCTCTCCCTCGTTCTTTCATCGTCGCATGTCGCTCGCCCAGTCGTCGCACAGCAGTGCTCTGCGACCATTCGCTGCGCCAACAACCTCTGCTGCAGGTGCGTTCTGTTGAACCGCCTCGAAAATCGTTCGCTGCGCCATTTGCGGCGCCACAAAAGGTCTTCGCTGCTCCATTTGCGGCGTCTCAAAAGCTAACAACCTCTGCTGCAGGTGCGTTCCCTATGCGACCCATCCTCCTGAGTCGTGACCTTCAGTCCTTGGAATAGCATGGAGTTTTCTAGAATTCTCGAAAACACAAGGTGACTTTTGAGTCGACTCAAAGTCACCTTGGAATAGCATGGAGTTTTCTAGAATTCTCGAAAACACAAGGTGACTTTTGAGTCGACTCAAAAGTCACCTTGGAATAGCATGGAGTTTTCTAGAATTCTCGAAAACACAAGGTGACTTTTGAGTCGACTCAAAAGTCACCTTGGAATAGCATGGAGTTTTCTAGAATTCTCGAAAACACAAGGTGACTTTTGAGTCGACTCAAAAGTCACCTTGGAATAGCATGGAGTTTTCTAGAATTCTCGAAAACACAAGGTGACTTTTGAGTCGACTCAAAAGTCACCTTGGAATAGCATGGAGTTTTCTAGAATTCTCGAAAACACAAGGTGACTTTTGAGTCGACTCAAAAGTCACCTTGGAATAGCATGGAGTTTTCTAGAATTCTCAAAAACACCGTGCGTCCTCCGGCTCCGAGCCTCCGATACTGAGCCTTCGAATCCGAGCCTCCGAGCCTCTGATACCGATTTTTGTCGGATTCCGAGCCTCCTATTTTGAGTCGCTCCCGATTCCGAGCCTTGGATTTCAAGCATTCTATTCCTCCCTCCTCCCTTCCCCTCACCCTGCGCACCTCTCCCCTCGTGCATCTCAACCGTCCCTTTTTTTCGCAGCAAGTGGGGTTGGTGCGGCTCCACCGTCGATTACTGCGGCTCTGGCTGCCTATCCGGGCCGTGCAGTGGAGCCCCTTCCGCCTCCCCCCCTCCGCCTTCCGCCTCTCCGCCTCCACCCACTAGCTCTCCGCCTCCGCCTACCCGCTCTCCCCCTCCGCCCACGAGCTCTCCGCCTCCGCCAACGACCGGTTCCCCCCCTGTGTCCACCAATGGCCGTGAGTGCTCCATACCCTTTTACAGTGGTTCACCCATGTAGGCGTTTATTTCAGTCTGGGTATCAACGATGATAATATTACCTTATAGGTTTTTTTTTTTTTTTTTTTTTTTATAAATTACTTCTTCTGGAGGCGATGCTGAAGGCGCCTCAAACGTCCATCATCACGTTCCGCACAGACTTCTGAGAATCCTCGTGAGTCTCCCGCACAGACTATCGATTCACCGCTTTCGCTTCGCTTTCGCGTTCGCTTTCGCTTTCGCTTTCCCTTCCCGCACAGGCTTCAATGCGGTCCAATCCAGCCTACACCAGAGCACGGGGAATCGAGCCCCAGCCACAGCAGAGTATGGCGCCGTGGGTAATCGCCCGAACCCCACGCCCATCTCCCTCCCCCTGCATTTCACCCTCGTCAGAATGTGGCGCACAAAACGGCAACAGCATCTGCCCCAACGGCCTGTGCTGCAGCATCCACGGCTGCTTGGTGTTTTCCTTCCCCATTCTCCTTACCGCTCCACACCCCTCTCTTTTTCTCTGTCGCCCACAACAGAGTGTGGCGCGCAGAACGGCAACACCATCTGCCCCAACGGGCTCTGCTGCAGCATGCACGGCTGGTGTGGCTCCACTCTCGACTACTGCGGCCCCGCCTTCCCCACTCATCCCACCCACGTCTCCCCACCCCTCCCCACCCCTTCCCACACCTCGCCAGAGTGTGGCGCGCAGAATGGCAACAGCGTCTGTCCCAACGGCCTGTGCTGCAGCATCCACGGCTGGTGTGGCTCCACCCTCGACTACTGCGGCCCCATGCTGGCCCTCCTCCTCCTCCCCCTCCCCTCCCCCTCCTTCTACCTCCTCCCCTCCCCCGCCTTCTCCCTCTACCTCGCCCTCTCCCCCTCCGCCCTCCACGTCCCCCTCCCCGCCTCCCCCTTCCACGGCCTCTCCCCCGCCCTCCTCATCTGTGCTGAAGCGCATGGCGTATTTCGTCAACTGGGCGGGCATGGACCCATCCGTCATCCCTGCTGCCAGCCTCACACATGTCTTCTACGCCTTTGCCCTCGTCGATGCCACTACATACCAGGTATGGCACCACATTCATGGAACAGTATCACAGGAATGCCGTCGGTCTTTTCATTCCACAATCCCGTAAATTTACCAAGATTTTTTTTTTCTTTCATTCAATCACCTGCCGTTCTTCCTTTTTTCTTATTTCTTTTATCCACGACCTCTTAAACCCTGTTTATTTTCCTCTCCCATCGCAGGTCGTCCCCTCCAACCCAGCCGTTGATGTCACCCAGGGCCTCTATCTGCGCTTCAACTCTGCCTTAAAAACTGCCAACCCCGCCATCAAAACTCTCCTCTCCATCGGGGGCTATTCCGCCGGCACCGCCACATTCACCAACGCCGCCTCCTCCCCCTCCTCCCGCTCCGCCTTCATCCAATCCGCGATCCATTTCGCCCGATCGTACAATTTTGACGGTCTGGATATTGACTGGGAGTACCCGACCGGGCAGATGGCACTTTTCTCTGCCCTGCTCACGGACTTCCGGGCGGCGATCGAGTCCGAAGCGGCAAGTTCGGGTAAACCGAAGCTGCTTCTGACAGCAGCGGTTTCTGCCTACGAGCCGACTGTTACGCAGGCATACAATGTTCCGACGCTTAACAATACACTGGACTTTGTTAACATAATGACGTATTATCTGCACGGGTCGTGGGAGGCAAAGACCGGCATGCACACTGCTCTGGAGGATCTGAGCAACCCGCAGCTGAGCCTCAAGGGTGCCATGGCTGCCTGGGTGTCCCGAGGCTTGGCCCGAAGCAAGGCCATGCTAGGCTTGGCGATGTACGGCCGAACCTGGACTTTAGCCTCGACGAGCAGCACTGGGGTTGGAGCTGCGGCTACCGGGCCTGGGCTGGCTGGGTCTGTGAGCCGGGAGGCTGGTGTCCTCTTTTACAGGGAGATCTCTCAGATGGTAGCCACTGGTGGTTACAAAGCTACACTTCATACGCCATCGTCATCCATGTATGCGGTGAAGGGTAACCAGTGGGTTGGTTACGACAACCCATCCACCATCACCACAAAGGTTAATTATGCCAAGGCGCAAAGCTTTGGAGGGTGGTTCTTTTGGGCCCTGAACCAAGACGCCAACAATGCTTTGCTCAGTGCTGCGTTGGCTGTGTGAGACGTAGCCCAATATGTATAATGCCAAGGTCAGAATCCTGTTTTTGGAAGGTTGTTTGCAAGCGTGTGAATGATTGTACTGTATGTAGATTTCAATCATGAGTTATTTACCCCCAGACTAAATTGATAAGGTGCTCGCTTGAGCGCATCACTAAATCGCCGTTTGCTCTTAGATATTGTTTTCCAGTCGAAACGTTCAATTGAAACGGAACAAACGGAACACTTACAACGAATACCTTCACACACACAGCCTTTTCCATGCTGGCGTTCTGTCCACCTGGCAATCGCTTGAGGCACGTCAGCCTGGGTCCTTTCGGTTTGATCTGGGACATTTCCATTCACGCTTGGGATAGCCGGGCCTCTCACGAGCACACGCACGCTAGGCTCGGTGACACAACGACGGCACCGATTGCTCCAAAATCTTCCCAAACCAGCAAATCGTCCAGTCAGACAAGCCTAGCTTGATCTGGCCAATGACCAAGCCTCATAAAGCGCATCTGGTTGCACATGTTGACGCAATCCACGTGATTGATGACCGCATGCCAACTAACACCCAGCAACCTCAATCGACTTTGTGTGAAGGCCCTGGTTCGCCTATCCCCGTTGGCGTAATCGCGTGCTGGCGACATGCTGGCTCTGTCGCCACCAGCTCATCCGACGATGCCGCCATTTGAAACCCTGTTCATTTCTCACTGTTGGGGAGGCAGATTTGTGGACTTCATTTCGTCGCCGTCGCATCACCCAGTCTTTTCATGGCTTTGGTGGAAGTGGTCATCGCATATTAATGCTTCGAGAATCGCATGCGATTATCTCGAGGTCGCGCACATATCACACCGTTTCCAAAGCCGCTGCCGCCAAAATAGGCACACGCACCACCACACCCCACCGCCTCCAAACCAACCCAGCAGCAGAGGTCAGGAAGACTGTCTGCTTCCATGCTCCCTCTACCCCCGCATGGCCATGTTTCGCACTACCCGAGTTCGGTTTGTTCCTGGTACACTACACCAATTAGCTTTCCACTTTGTTTCATATCTGCTCCAGACTGATAATTATTTGCGCTCCCTTATCACGTTATCTACACCGAACAAGCATTTCTAGACGCTATTCTTTCTGCCCGAATGCACTTATGCGCTGCTGTCCAGGTTCTTCCACCATTCCTTGCATTTGCCCCCCTTCTCCTCCGTCCCTCCCATCCTAGATTTCTCCTTGCCCCTGCGGCTGCTTCTGACTGCTGCTGCTCTGCATATATTCGCTTCGTGCTTTCATGCAGCGGGGTGGAATCTGTGTGATTCAGCTCCGCAGAAAGCCCAACCCCGTTCTTGTAAAGAGCAGCCATTTCTTGTTTTTCCTGTTTTCTCCAATGCGTTCTTTCTATACTATTCGCGATCCTCCCGCGATCAGAACCGTCAATTCCGTTCCTTTTACACGTGATTCCGGCCCTCCAGTTTGCTGTATCCTTAGTCGTCGGATGTTTTTTCGGCCGAAATTCATGCATCCATGTCACTTCGACGTGCGTGTGTGTATTGAATCCTTGCTTGACACTACTGCTCACTGCTCCCTCGTGACAACCGCTACGGAAGCGTTAGAGATTGAAGTACCTGGATAACAAGCCAATTATCCACACGCGAGCAATCGAAAGAACTGGTACTTTTTTCCGCCGGCTTATCACCAGTTACGACGGGTAAATCTCTCGTCTAGCAACCAACTAAGTGTTCCGCTACTGCGGTTTCTGGAAGCCCGCGACTTCTCAATTTTTGAACGGCGATCGTCAAAACGAGCGACTTCTACTCGGAAATTCATCGCTCAAGAGTTTGAAGGCCGTTGCGTTGACATCGAGACATGGCGTTCGGTGATGTGATCGGTGACCGCATGATGCGACGGCTCACGGCAGCGGGTCGCAGGGCAATGCGACGGAACGCGAGCGACAGTTGCTTCGTTCGCCAGCAGCAGCAAAACGTGGAGAACACGACATCAGCGACCAAGGTAACCTCGACTGGTTCGTCTGTTATTACATAGAGTCACGACGCCTGGATAAACTTGCGGAGATAGGCTTCTCAAGTTCTGTTTTGTCGCCGATTGTTGATGGTAGATGCACGTCACGTTTGAACAGGTTGTCTTAGGATGTAGACGACTCGTGCATGAATAACCGTTGTTGCTGCTCTTTCTCGGGTTTGCGCTTGCGGTGTCGCTCCCCCACATTCAGGGTTCCTGCTCTCGTCTGATGGGTCGCTGCAGCAGCAACAGCTGCATCCACGCTATGAAGAAAAACGGCTCCAATTCGTTACTATCCGAGGCCGCTTCTACTCCTCAACGGACCCCGTTATCATCACTCACTATGTTCCTTAAACGAAAGAGCGCCGTACGGCCTTCTGCAGTTGCCGAGCCTGTCTCCGAGCTTACCGCCGAGCCTGTCTCATCCGCGTCCAATTCGGAGAAGGCGAAGGCCGGAGTGGGCGAGAAAGACAAGGCGAAGGTGTTTCGCGCGGCTGTATTCCCCGTCGCTGTGATCGAAACCGACGAGGAGGAAAACGAACCTTCCGACGACGGGTCATCACTATCGAGCGTGACTAAATCGGAAAGAGTGGGTGGTTTTCTCTCTACAAGCACCCCCGAGGACGCGCAGCAACCCCTGACCGCACCAGTCGCAGCAAAAGCACAGCAGACAAAATTGACCCCAGCAGCATGCGCGAAGCTTCCACCACCCGTTCCTTCCGGCAAGCAACCCGCCAGTCAGCCGGTCGACATCAAGCAGCCGGCGACGGCCGTCCGTAACCGTCAGCAGAACCGTCCAATCTTCCAGCGGCCGGTTCTGGACACGATTCCGTCTGCACAGGAGCTGGAAAGCGGCGAGCTGCCGTTCTCTCTCTCTCTCACCAACAACCCAGTAACCTCCCCTCCGACTGTTACCACTCCCGGCGGTTCGTCATTCTCCTCGTTCATCCTCTCTCTGGTGACGCCACGTGGCAGCCAGAGACCTGCGTCGTCTGCTACCGCTTCGTCACAATCCGCCGCATCTTCCGTGTACTCGCTTTCTGATTCCGATGTGGATTCGGACTCTGACGAGGAGAGAGAGGAAGAGGAGACGGGGAAAGGTGAAGGGGGAGAGGAGGACGGGAGCTGGAGCAAGCTGGCATCTGTTGGCAAGTCCGTGAGTTTCGAAGGGAGGAAGACGGGGGTTCAGAGCGGTGGAGCTGGGTTCTGGAACCGGAAGAGGTGGCTGTCGTTCTCCCCTCGCTCCGCGTCCGCTGCTCGGGCGTGTGCGCGGGCTGTTGCTGCTGCGGACGTTGGTAATGGTGATGGTGATGGTCGTGGGGCCAAGTGTGTCAAGTCCACGCCGTCCTCTTCATACACGTCACCTTCGAAGCGTTTCTTGACGAGCCCTGACGCAGCTTCGGAATCCGGTTCGGCAAGCTCTGTTCCTGCTGGAGCTCCGGGAGGAGGTTCGGATGCAGGTTCGGGAGGGACATTCGGTGGTGGTTTGGGAACGGGCGGCAGGATCAAATCTGGAGCGAGGATGGGGATGCTATCCAGAAGCATGTCGGAACGACTGCCGCCACTCACTCCGCTGGCCACTGTGCTGGACTGCGACATGCCGCTGACGTGGACTGCCAGCCTGGACCCGGATTTGTGGGCGGTTCCGGAGCACGGGGCCCATGGGGGTGGCGGAACTACGGGCGAGAAGTCATGGCATCAGGAAAAGGACAAGGACAGCAAGTTGGCGGCCCGCCGCCCATTCAGCATTGAGTTGCCGGCCAGGAGCACCAGGGTCGATTTGGCAGGGGATGCTGTGGTGTCGCCGCCAGCTGTCACGCCGCGATTGCCCGAGCTGACGGAGGAGTCGTTTCTGCTGTCGGAGGCGACGCGTGCAGCGGTGTTCAAGCACCTGCCTGCCACTGTCAGCAGCCGCAAATGGGTGCTACTCTACAGGTAACGGCTGAATGCATGTCTGGTTGTTATTATTATTGTGGCGCAGCGCATGCAGCTCCATTGCTGCTTGTTCGTGAGCTTCCCATCTTGCTATGCTCCTACTTTTTATGCTGTTTAACTAATTCGTCTTTCTGTGCCTCCCCTTCCTCTCCCCCCTTCTCACCCACCTGTATGCGCCCTGCACAGCACGGTGAAGCATGGCATATCACTTCTCACGCTCTACCGCAGGGCATCCATGCTTCCCGGCCCCTGCCTCCTGGTAAGTGCCCTTCCCATTGCTTTCTCATACGTCTCAAATATTTCCTGCCTCTATGCGTTCCCTTCCGCTGCCTCCCGCCTTCTGTGCTTCCAGCCTTTACCGCTGCTTCCGGCCTTGCTGCTGATTTTCCCAATTCTGTTTGCTCCCCATGCGCTCACATTGATTCCGCCCTCCACCCGTCCATCCCTCCAGGTGGTATCAGACAGCGCAGGCACAATCTTCGGCGCCTTCTCCTCCCCATCCGCGCTCACCCCATCGGACCGCCGCAAGTACCAGGGCAGCAACCACTGCTTCGTCTTCTCCGACATCTCGGGCTCCCCCACGGTGCATGCTGCGACTGGTCGCAACCACTACTACGTGCTACCCACACATGAGTGCCTCGCCTTTGGTGGAGGCGGGAGATTCGCGCTTCGCCTGGAAGAAGACCTGTAAGTCCGTGAGGCTAGGGCCGTGTGGTGGAGACTGCTTTTTCTTGCCGCCCATTCACCTTCTCCTGCCCTCCCTTCCCCTCCCTTCTCATCCCTTCTCCTCTCTTCTCCTCCCTTCTCATCCGTTCTCATCCCTTTTCCTCCATTCTCATCCCTTCTCCTCCCTTTTCATCCCTTTTCCTCCCTTCTCCTCCGTTCTCATCCCTTCTCCTCCCTTCTCGCTTCTCCTCCCTTCTCGCTTCTCCTCCCTTCTCGCTTCCCCTCCCTCCTTCTACCTGTCCCTCGTCTCTCCATGTGTGCGAGCTGCAGGCTGTCAGGATCCAGTGGCGAGTGTGACACCTTCGCCAGCCCGTGCCTGGCGGGGAAAGAGGACTTTTGTGTCAAACACGTTGAGGTATATTCACTCATCTCTTGCAAGCACACTCATCTTCTCTGCACTGCGCGCACACTCATCTCGCCTGCACGCACTTCCTATATTCCATGTCTCAGTTGTAGCCCTTTCCCGCTCCTTCCCACCCCCCTCCCAACACTCGGTCGTAGGCACTTAATTTACTGCATTAATTCTGTTCCGCATGGTTTTTTCTCTCGTTACCCAGTGTGTTCTCTCTCCTAACCTACTTCTCCCTTCCACCCTTCCGGCCCACCCTGGCCCACTCGACTCATTTTCATCACCACCACGGTGGCCACCATGTCTGTGTGTGTGCGTGTGTGTTGCAGCTGTGGGGGTTCGCCCATTTGTCGCGCTACACGCCAGCCAGAGCAGCATGGAAGGAGCCAGAGATGCGCCACAGCTTCCACGCCTAGCCGCACGTCTCTTCTCATGGCTCCGCAGCTTCTACACTTTGCGGCAATCCCACACACACACTGAAGAGGCAACAGCTCGCACAGTCAGCCGCGTTTTGATGACATGACAGCTTCCACCACTCGTGGCGGCACCTTCATTTGGCTACAGCTCCTGCTGCTCAACCCTGCAGCTCCAGTGTCCGCTCCTATTCGCACCTGCAGCATCGTCTCCTGTTGGCACATGCAGCGTCAGCATTTATCACGGCTGCAGCTATATTGTATTTACGAGGGCTGTGCAGGCACAGCTCTCTGCACCCATCTGCACCCATCTTTTCTCACCTGGCAGAAGCTCGATGCAACAGCACAACAGCACGAGTGCCAGGATACTCCCATTCACACTTGCAATGCTTGGTTTAGCTCGGCTTGGTTTAGCTCGGCTTGGGTTGGTTCGGCTCAATAGTACACTCCATGCGGCTGCATGGACGCAAGGGTACACCTGGCGACAGCAACCCTTGCTTGAGTTGGACCTCTCAGGCACATCATATGGCTGGGGTATCTCAAGTGTACAAGGCCACGGCGACCCTGTGTAACATTCTGTAATATTCTGCATTCCCTCGGCAAGGGTAATGGCTTCTGCAGCAGCTGAGTGTGCTGGGTGGTATTCATCCTCTGTTCGCTGCTCTTTTTTTTCTGTGCTGCTCGTTTTCCCGCGCTGCTCTTCTGAGGTTGTCTTCTAGCTCATGGGTATCTGCTCTTTTACAGGTCCCATTCCATACTACACGCCGGTGTGCCTTGTCTTATTTGCACAGCTGGCAACTTTTTGAGGTGGAGAGAGTAGGGTATGGGTGGTCATGTCAGTGCAGGGTGGGTTACCAATAAGAGGGGGAAGTGGGGTTCAGCCAAAGAAATGGAATCGGGTGGTGTCCGGCGGTGGTGAACGAGGGTAACGAGGAGCAATAGAGCAGACGGGGGAGTTCAGTAAGGGAGAAAGAGAGGAAGAGGTGAGTAGCATACGTGAAGTGAGCAGTTGTGGCTGAGGAGAATAAGCAGTGGAGTTGCTGCTGCATGGTGCTATTGGGCTGTGTACCAATGCCACCCACCCCACCCATACTCGAATCCCATTTCCTAGGCGCCATGCACACATAGGATAGCGGGAGGGAGTGTGTACAGGGTTATATCTTGCTCTCGTTGTTGCTTGCATCCACCCGACCAAGGGCTTGGTGTGTGCTTGTTTGTACATATATAACATATGTTCCCTCTAAAAATGCTGTTACTGTGAAGTGAGACGGATTTTCTTTAAGATCACGAAATTACATTAGAAGTGATGTGGAGGTTGTATCGAATTTGTGAATGTGCGTACGCGCCCTGTGGCGCGGCTTGTTCGCTCCTGTCACATCCCCCAACCCCTAGATCAGCCGAGATTGCCGCATTCCTCGCCGTACTTCGTTCCGCATTAGTCGCCGAGCCTGTAGCGTCTTAGCCACGTATCTAACGACAATTCATTTTTCATCAGTGCAATTTCGACGATGACGCAGACGCTCTTTTCGCCATGTGCATCGGGTTACCACACAAGTAGTATCCTCGCGAATGGGACGCGGCTGTCGAAGTCAATTCAATCCCCATTCGGCACGTGGCAGGCGCACGCCGGACCAGGTCATCCGCTCAGTCGAAATTTGACGAAGCTAGACGACAGGCTCGGTTCCAGGCTCGGCAGCGGCCGCATTTCTAGGTTCGGAGCGCAACAGCAGGGATGGAGAAGGGGGTTCGGGGGAGAAGGCGTGGGAGAGGAAGGAGGAGCGTTTCGGGGGAGGCGGCGAACGATAACAGCCATTGGATTTACTGCAGATCCACGGCCCAGGTAGCATGATTTCACGCATAAAAACACGCTTTTAAGTCGCGCCGTTCTTGCCTTAAACTTAAATCCCCCTCCAAAGATGTGTAGGAGTTTTTTTTCTAGAATTCTCAAAAGATAGGAGACATTTCACTAAGGATGCAGCGTGGGTACTAAGATTCAGCGGCCCTGCTGGTTTATCAGGACGACTTTAAAGGCAGTGATGTTTTCTCTCTTCCCCCTTCCACCCTCTTCTCTTCTCCCACCCTCTCTGATGCCCCCTCTTCGTATCCCTTCAGTGCGGGCAAGGTAGCAGCGCGGCTACTGAAGGACGCAGCGGCCTTACTTCTCTACCAGGACGCTTTCAAAGGCGCTGCTGCCCTTTCTCCCTCTCCCCCGTCCCCATACTATTCTCTCCATTCCATCCCCCTCCAACCCCCTCAGTGCGGGCAAAGCAGCAGCCCGCCTACTGAGGGATGCGGCAGCGCTGCTGCTGTATCAGGACGCTTTCAAAGGCGCTGCTCCGCAGGCGTTTCTGAGGCTGCTGCTGCAGCTGCGACGCGCTGATGGTGGGGAAGGGGAAGGGAGTGGGGAAGAGCGGGGCTGCGGTGCGGAGGTGTGGGGGTGGGTGGAGTGGGCGTGTTGTGGTGGTGGGGTTGAGTGTTGGGGTGTGGGGGAGGTGTTGGGGTGTGGGGGAGGTGTTGGGGTGTGGGGGAGGTGTTGGGATGTGGGGGAGGTGTTGGGGTGTGGGGGAGGTGTTGGGATGTGGGGGAGGTGTTGGGATGTGGGGGAGGTGTTGGGATGTGGGGGAGGTGTTGGGATGTGGGGGAGGTGTTGGGGTGTGGGGGAGGTGTTGGGGTGTGGGGGAGGTGTTGGGGTGTGGGGGAGGTGTTGGGGTGTGGGGGAGGTGTTGGGGTGTGGGGGAGGTGTTAGGCTTTGTCGGGGTGTGGCTTATGGCCTTAAGAGCCCTTCCAGTTCCCCCCTTCCGTCTCCCCTCCCCCTCCCTATCCCCTCCCAAATGTCTCCCTCTCCTCCCTTCCCCTCCTCCCACCTCTCCCCTCCCAAAACGACCCGCTGCGAGTGCTGGAGAGCTATGGGGAGTTCTTTTGAGACGTCTCAAAAGAGAGCTATGGGGAGTTCTTTTGAGCCGTCTCAAAAGAGAGCTATGGGGAGTTCTACCACCTTATGGCTTTTTTGAGTCAACTCAAAATTCGCCTTATGGCTTTCGCATTCTCTTTCTTCCAACGTATGTTTTTTTAGAATTATCAAAAAACATACGCCCCTTCCCTCTCCACACTCCCGCCCTCTACCCTCCTCCATATGCCCACTCCTCAAAAAACATACGCCTCCATGTCTCCCCGCCCTCTACCCTCCTCCATATGCCCACTTCTCAAAAAACATACGCCTCCATGTCTTCCCGCCTCGCACCCTCTCTCCGCCTCTCCCCCCTCCCAAGAAGACCCGCTGCGAGTGCTGGAGAGCTACGGGGAGTTTTACCGACTCATGGCTTATGAGGAACATTCCAGGTAGCTTCTTCCTGCTGTACTGCCCTCCTACCTCACCGCACTGCACCCCTCTTGCCACTCTTTCCCACATTTCCTGCCATCGCCATCATCACACTTGCCACTTGGTCACACATGCCGTCACACATGCCGTCACACATGCCGTCACACATGCCGTCACACATGCCGTCACACATGCCGTCACACATGCCGTCACACATGCCGTCACACATGCCGTCACACATGCCGTCACCAATGCCGTCACACATGCCGTCACACACGCCGTCACACACGCCGTCACACACGCCGTCACACACGCCGTCACACACGCCGTCACACACGCCGTCACACACGCCGTCACACACGCCGTCACACACGCCGTCACACACGCCGTCACACACGCCGTCACACACGCCGTCACACACGCCGTCACACACGCCGTCACACACGCCGTCACACACGCCGTCACACACGCCGTCACACACGCCGTCACACACGCCGTCACACACGCCGTCACACACGCCGTCACACACGCCGTCACACACGCCGTCACACACGCCGTCACACACGCCGTCACACACGCCGTCACACACGCCGTCACACACGCCGTCGCACACGCCGTCGCACACGCCGTCGCACACGCCGTCGCACACGCCGTCGCACACGCCGTCGCACACGCCGTCGCACACGCCGTCGCACACGCCGTCGCACACGCCGTCGCACACGCCGTCGCACACGCCGTCGCACACGCCGTCGCACACGCCGTCGCACACGCCGTCGCACACGCCGTCGCACACGCCGTCGCACACGCCGTCGCACACGCCGTCGCACACGCCGTCGCACACGCCGTCGCACACGCCGTCGCACACGCCGTCGCACACGCCGTCGCACACGCCGTCGCACACGCCGTCGCACACGCCGTCGCACACGCCGTCGCACACGCCGTCGCACACGCCGTCGCACACGCCGTCGCACACGCCGTCGCACACGCCGTCGCACACGCCGTCGCACACGCCGTCGCACACGCCGTCGCACACGCCGTCGCACACGCCGTCGCACACGCCGTCGCACACGCCGTCGCACACGCCGTCGCACACGCCGTCGCACACGCCGTCGCACACGCCGTCGCACACGCCGTCGCACACGCCGTCGCACACGCCGTCGCACACGCCGTCGCACACGCCGTCGCACACGCCGTCGCACACGCCGTCGCACACGCCGTCGCACACGCCGTCGCACACGCCGTCGCACACGCCGTCGCACACGCCGTCGCACACGCCGTCGCACACGCCGTCGCACACGCCGTCGCACACGCCGTCGCACACGCCGTCGCACACGCCGTCGCACACGCCGTCGCACACGCCGTCGCACACGCCGTCGCACACGCCGTCGCACACGCCGTCGCACACGCCGTCGCACACGCCGTCGCACACGCCGTCGCACACGCCGTCGCACACGCCGTCGCACACGCCGTCGCACACGCCGTCGCACACGCCGTCGCACACGCCGTCGCACACGCCGTCGCACACGCCGTCGCACACGCCGTCGCACACGCCGTCGCACACGCCGTCGCACACGCCGTCGCACACGCCGTCGCACACGCCGTCGCACACGCCGTCGCACACGCCGTCGCACACGCCGTCGCACACGCCGTCGCACACGCCGTCGCACACGCCGTCGCACACGCCGTCGCACACGCCGTCGCACACGCCGTCGCACGCCGTCGCACACGCCGTCGCACATGCCGTCGCACATGCCGTCACACATGCCGTCACACATGCCGTCACACATGCCGTTATACGTGCCTTCACCATCCATGCCACCATCCATGCCACCATCCATGCCACCATCCATGTTACGTGGCCCATTAGCCATCCCAAACCATCCTTGCTCTCCCCAACTCCAAACCATTCCAACCCATGCCACACCACTCCATGCCACACCACTCCATGCCACACCACTCCATGCCACACCACTCCATGCCACACCACTCCATGCCACACCACTCCATGCCACACCAGCTGGGAGGATGTGCTACATCTCATCCCCAACTCCATCCCATCCCTCCCCACCCCGCCCCACCCATGCCATCACACCAGCTGGGAGGATCTGCTACTGCATCGAATGCTGACCGTCGAAAACAACCCCTTTGTCGAGGCAGCAGCAGCGGCGGCATCAGCAGCATCTGCTACTGGCCCGGCCGCAAAGGCTGAGAGGCAGGGCAAGCTGAGGGAGGCGGCAGCGGTGGACCTGAACGCGCTGCAGTCGCTGTGTGTCAACGAAAGCACCCTTGCCTCCTGGGTGGGTGGGTGGGTGGGTAGGTCCTACACGGGTGGGCTATACATGGGTGGATGGGTGAGTTTCTACATGTTTGCTCCCAATCGACACACCAAGTCCTGAAGCAAGGGCTAAGTGCTGATAATATCCGGTGCTTTCATGATCAGACAAGTGCAGGCTTTTGAGTCAACTAGAAAGTGGATTTTAAGTCAGCTATAGACTTCGCACTTTCGAAATCCCTCCTCCCATCCTTGCGAGTGATTTTTGAGAATTCTCAGAAATCCCTCCTCCCATCCATACAGGTGGCTGACATTATATCGTCAGATGTGCCAGCAGAGTGGAGGGCGGTTGCTGCTGGTGCTGCTGGCGCTGCGAGCGAGGTGGTGGGGAGGAGTAGGAAGGAGCCCGCAGGAGAGGCTAAGATGATGGGCTTTAATTTGGCCGGTCCCTTCGATGCACCAGACGCCGACACACCTGCTGCATCACCTGCCGCTGCTCCTGCTGCCTCCTCCCTCTCCTCATCTTCCCCTTCCTCCAGTGAAGGTGCGGCTTAAAGCCACTGTTTTATCTTATTTTTCAGACGCCTAAAGAAAGGCACGGCTTAAAGTACTTGTGTCAGAAAGGCATGGTTTGAACTGCCAGAATTTCTATTTATCTAAACGAATGCATTTACATGGAGTAGGGAACGTGTTTTGAGACGTCTCAAAACACTGTATGTTTTGAGACGTCTCAAAACATCTAAACGAATGCATTTACATGGAGTAGCGAACGAGCAAGCTTAACAAAAAGAAGCATGAGTCCCGCAGGAAGCTTCCTATTCGGCCAAGCCTGGCTGCAGGAAGTTTCCTCAACACGTCAGCCTGTTTCACATCTGCGCCTCCCCTTTCCTTCCCTTTGCACCCCTCGTTGCCCCCCTCGCAGACCTCTTACTCAGCCGCATGTGGGACTGGGCGGATTCTAGTTTTGAGGCGTCTCAAAACGGGCATGTGGGACTGGGCGGATGCGCTGCCTCTCATCCATGCACTCCGTGCTTCCTTCCTCTATGCTTCCTCCACTCCTTGCAGACCTCTTACCGGAGCGCATCAGCAGCATGTGGGACTGGGCGGATGCTTTGCCTTTCATAGAGGCTTTCCATGCTTTCTTGTTTCCTTGCTTCCATGCTTGCCCTACCCCCTCCCCTCCCCTCCCCTCCCCTCCCCTCCCCACTCCTCGCAGACCTCTTACCGGAGCGCATCAGCAGCATGTGGGACTGGGCGGATGCTTTGCCTCTCATCGAGGCTTTCCATGCCTCTAACGGCTATGGAGAGGCAGCAGTGAGCTCAGGTATAGTGCACTGGCACTGGGAATGGAGTAGGTTCATGAAGCCAACGCACTATACCTGCGCACGAATGGTTCACTGGTTTCATTCGTCTCCCAGTCGCCTCTCATCAGCTTCATGCCCTGCCTTTCTCTCACCCAAACCTTCCCTGCTGCCAACGGCTATGGAGAGGCAGCAGTCAGGTCAGGTATACTGCACTGGCACTGGGAATGGAGGCTTTCCATGCCTCTAACGGCTATGGAGAGGCAGCAGTCAGGTCAGGTATACTGCACTGGCACTGGGAATGGAGGCTTTCCATGCCTCTAACGGCTATGGGGAGGCCGCAGTCAGGTCAGGTATACTGCACTGGCACTGGGAATGGAGGCTTTCCATGCCTCTAACGGCTATGGGGAGGCCGCAGTCAGGTCAGGTATACTGCACTGGCACTGGGAATGGAGGCTTTCCATGCCTCTAACGGCTATGGGGAGGCCGCAGTCAGGTCAGGTATACTGCACTGGCACTGGGAATGGAGGCTTTCCATGCCTCTAACGGCTATGGGGAGGCCGCAGTCAGGTCAGGTATACTGCACTGGCACTGGGAATGGAGGCTTTCCATGCCTCTAACGGCTATGGGGAGGCCGCAGTCAGGTCAGGTATACTGCACTGGCACTGGGAATGGAGGCTTTCCATGCCTCTAACGGCTATGGGGAGGCCGCAGTCAGGTCAGGTATACTGCACTGGCACTGGGAATGGAGGCTTTCCATGCCTCTAACGGCTATGGGGAGGCCGCAGTCAGGTCAGGTATACTGCACTGGCACTGGGAATGGAGGCTTTCCATGCCTCTAACGGCTATGGGGAGGCCGCAGTCAGGTCAGGTATACTGCACTGGCACTGGGAATGGAGGCTTTCCATGCCTCTAACGGCTATGGGGAGGCCGCAGTCAGGTCAGGTATACTGCACTGGCACTGGGAATGGAGGCTTTCCATGCCTCTAACGGCTATGGGGAGGCCGCAGTCAGGTCAGGTATACTGCACTGGCACTGGGAATGGAGGCTTTCCATGCCTCTAACGGCTATGGGGAGGCCGCAGTCAGGTCAGGTATACTGCACTGGCACTGGGAATGGAGGCTTTCCATGCCTCTAACGGCTATGGGGAGGCCGCAGTCAGGTCAGGTAGAGTTGGTGAGAATCCAGTGTCCTGGTGATCACCGGGGGGGAGAGGAATGGGGGGTCTGACCTGACGTTGGTGATCAACGGCAGACAAGTGTGCTCCGTGCGGCTCATTTGTCTCTGAGAAAACCAACTCATTTGTCTCTGAGAAAACCAACTCATTTGTCTCCCGCTGACCTGTCCGCTCTCTAGCTTCATCTGTCGAACGCAGACAGGTGGGCTGCGGAGGTCTTACTTCCATCAACTTGTATCCGCTCTCTAGCTTGATCTGTGTTTGTTCCTGACGTATTTGTGTTTGCTTAAAGCAAAAGGTGGCCGAAGAAGATAATACTTGTGAAGAAAATCGAGGGCACTAGCAATAATACCCCTATTTTCCTCATCCGTCTTCTCCTGTTCCCCCTCATGCACATCAGCAGCATCGAATCTAGTAATCCCATCGTCCTCGCCCTTTTTCTCTATCTACAACAAGCAGCGAGAAGCTGTTCCTTCCTCTCCCCCCCTGTTCCTTCCTCTCCCCCCGTGCTCCTTCGTCCCTTCCACCGGCAGTGCTGGAGTGGAAGGGAGGTCGCTTCGTGGCAGCACCACCGGACCTACTCACCCCACCGCCCTCACCTCTCTTCGCTATTTACAACGAGCAGCGAGAGGCTCTGAGAAGACTGGTGCACACACACGTGGACGGCCGTGCCTCCCCCCACGTGCTGCTGGCAAGTCCCTTCCTTCACCATGCCTCGTGCTCTAGTCACGTCACCCCACCGCCCTCGCCGCTCTTCTCCGTCTACAACCCTGCAGCTAGAAGCGCTGAGAAGACTGGTGCACACACACGTGGAGCGCAGGTGCACACACGTCCCCCCACGTGCTGCTGGATCTCTCCATCCTTCCCTCCATCCCACCCTGCCCCTGCCCTGCTAAACCCACCGCCCTCGCCGCTCTTCCGTTTACAATCCCCCCCCCCCCCCCCCTTTCTTCCCCATCCCTCCCCCGTTCCCATCAACCCATCTCCCGTCCAATCAGCACGGGCCACCTGGCACGGGCAAGTCGACTCTCCTCCGCTCCGTCCTCCTTCCCATGGCCCTCCCCTCCTCCGCCCTCCTCTCCATGCCCCCCTCCGACTCTCCCTTACCATCCCCACTGGGGGAGGGGGAGTCAGGGGAAGGCAGCAGCAGGGGGAGGCGGGAGCTGAGGGTGGTGTTGCTACAGAAGGGGGACGTGAAGGGCATAGCAGGTTTGCTGCAGGCGGCTGCCAAGATGCCATCGCTGCGCTTCTGCCTTGTGATCGACAACCTGAACCTCCGAGTGAGTGGACTAGTGGTTAGGGGGATGCATAGCAGGGGTGGTGCAGGCGGTTACCAAGATGCCATGCCTGCGCTTCTGCCTCGTCATTGACAACCTGAACCTCCGGGTGAGCGCTGTTGCAAGATTCTCTCGGTTCCAGTTGGGAGCTTGTGGTGGTTAGCGTCATGTGAAGGGCATACCAGGGCTGCTGCAGGCGGCTGCCAAGACGCCCTGCCTGCAGTTTTGCCTCGTCATTGACAACCTGAACACTCGGGTGAGTCACGTTTCTGAGTTGCCCTGCACGGAATTGCGTATCTTCCTTGGATTCTGCAGTGGTGGGAAAAAAATGTTTCAAGTCTTCATGCATGCTTTCTTCCCTATGTCTTTCCCACACTCCTGCCGCAATCACTCCTGTTCCCCTTGCTCGCTCTCTCTGTCTCTCTGTTCTCCCTTCGGGCAGGAAGTGAAGTTCTGATTAGTCTGCCAGTGTGCCATTGGGAGGTCGCAAATATTTATCTCTCACAACTATCTTCTTATTACTCCTTCTCACTCTCGAGGCGCCTCAAAACTATCTTTTTATTACTCCTTCTCACTCTCACTCTCCTTCTCACTCTCCCTGCCTACAGGCAGGAGAAGAGGCCCTCATTGCTCTGCGTCAAGTCCTCCACTCCTCCTTTGTGAGTCACAGTCCGCTTTCCGTTGGCTCACATTTCCGTTTTGCTTCGTTTCGACCTGCCACACTGCTGTCTTCTTCCTTCATCTGCATTTCCTGCCCATAACAAATATTGTGCCTACTGTACT